ACACTTGAATAACACACAATAACACCTAAATAACAAGGGAAGAATATTCTCTTGTATTACCGGATAAATTTTTTTTTCTACGTGGTATGATTTTATTGGACTTCGCACGTAACTCTACTACATGCAGAATCCTTATGTAATATTTTTTTCCCAATGACTGACTGGTTGGGACTTTGGGAGAGAAAGAGTCAAGACTTCCTAAGTCATGAATCTGTCGTATAACAAAATTATTAGTTTATGATTTATTTGATTTATTTTTGTCAATTTATTTATTCTTTACAATGTTTACGTTTACTAAAGCTGGTCAAATATTAAGGCTTGACAGCTCTTCAAAACCATTGGCTATGTTCTTAGTGGTATTAGGAGACTGTTCTTTCTTCATTATCCAAATTTTAAAGTGGAATGTATGTATATATATATATATGTATGTATATATATATATATGTATGTATATATATATATATGTATGTATATATATATATATGTATGTATATATATATATATGTATGTATATATATATATATGTATGTATATATATATATATGTATGTATATATATATATATATGTATGTATGTATTGCGACTTATATAAATATTATATTTTAGATATTAGATATATACAAAAAACTATAATCATGTATGTAAATCTCTCTAATTTTAATTACTAATTAATATTATTATCTATAAATATGTTATATTTTATTATGGTCGGAAGTGATAGATTCAAGGAGCCTTTTGAGCTAATTCTAGTCAAGTCAATTAATTATTAAAAAATTTGACAAGAAAAAAATTATTATATGCATGCAAAAAATCAAATATAAAAGTTGTGCCACAAAAAATTTGTAGGAATAGAGTAATAAATTAGTATCTTAGTATTGTACAAAAATTTAATAAATATAGAGATACAAAAAAAATATCAAGGAAAGAAAATAGAATTTTTACGTGAAAAATCTCTAATAAAAAAAAACCAGATAGGGTCTGACCTAGTTAAAATAATCTATAATATAATTGTGTGTGCATATGTCAACGCTTCTCTCGAAATAGAGAAGATGAGATTTCAAATGAGCAGTGGTGCTTTGGCTTTAATAGCTAGGATTAGCTTGAAACAAATGTAGTTCTAGGTGATTGTAATAGTCTCAGTTTGTCTTAGAGGCCGTAGTTGAAAGTCATAGTATTATTTAGTCAAATAGGTCGTTGTTGGTAGGTTCAAGAGGATCGTTTGGCCACAAATGGTGTTAGTGGTGAGTTGTAGTAGCGATGAGCCACGTAAGCCATAGTGGTGAGCAACGATAGAGTCAATTGGCCACAAGAGCCATAGTGGTGTTGTAATGACAACAGTTAGTCACGTATGTTATAGTAGAGAGTTACAAGAGCATCAGTTGGCCACCAAGACCACAGAGAGAAGTTGCGAGAGAACTTCAGAAGTCCAAAAAAAGTTGTTGTATCATGAGTACGATGGTTCTAAGTCATTGTTGTCAAGAATTATCATCGTATTTTCAATACAACATTATTTTTTTTATCTCTTTTTGAGGGTATGTTATTACACTAGATTCATGTTGCATCGTTACACCGTATTTGCACTATAAAAAATACACTAAAATAGACAGCCTAAGTTTACGTCACAAAAAATGTTCCATTTACAGATGATGTAGCCACATATTATGATCTGCATAATCTACTAAGGTATAACAATCTGACATGTCGTCACTTATAAATAATATTATTTTCCGATGACTTTATTTATTACTGACGCGTTAGGTCGTCAGTTTTAAAGCAAATATTAACCGACAACCATATTACGTCGGTTATACACAAAACCCGCCATTTGGCAGGGTGCTAACTGACTTTTTTTTATTAATGACCGTTTTATCCATCGGTAATAATGTAAATTACAAAGTGTTTATCTCTGGGTAATTAGCTACGACATAACTATATAATTGTCTTCAGTTATCAACAACAATTTTTTTTCCTACAGTTTTTATTATTACGAATGCATTAAGTCATCGATTATATTCAAATATTAACCGACGGTTATATGTCGTCAGTTACATTTGAATCCACCATCTCGTGCGGGATTAACCGACGCCTATTTATAATAAGCGACCCAAGTGCCATCAGTAATAGAATTAAGAACTAACGGATTGTAAGTCATGTATAAGCCATCAGAAATAATCTCTTATACCGCAAAAAATTATTGATAGAAAATTATTCTGAAGACTTGATCATTTGTACATGAAAGCGAACGATATTACAATATTACTGGTTTTTTTTTTTGTTTTGGTTTTTATGATTGCAATATGATACATAAAATGATAAATCACAATTAATGTACTGGATAAATTTAAACTCCTGGCCTATTTTTTATATTGCTTAAGCTAGTTTTGTTATTATATTATAATTATTTTAAAAACAGTCATTTTCATCTGAAACATTTACAGTATACCAATTTTTTTTAAACAAACTCATTGTTATGTTATTCTTAAGAAAATAACTACTGCTCTAAATGCACCCTAAATAGGGCTACATGCTTTTCATTTATAAATAAAATTTACTTTTTTTATATCGTTAGCTTTTATGAGTTTGCATTCGAAAATATTTTTTCCTATAAAATAAAAAGAAACTAACCATCATGACCCGCTCAACCCTATACTAGTGCATCTACAAGGGTTTGCATACGATGCTCACCCCTCTACCAGTGCATCTGTGGCTTCTACCTCTACAGCACAGGATGAGGAGATCTCTTGGGTTGTTGTTGCATTCTCTGTTGAGGTGGAGGACTATTTTGCTCAAATAAAGTTAGAGCTGGAGGCCAACATGGAGGCTAAATTTTAATAACTCACGCCTTACCAAGAAAATAATTATGAAATGTTTTGACACAAGAAACCGACGGATGCGACGCTTTTTCGGCAGTTTAGTCGCCGGTTTTAATAATCAACACATTACTTACACAAATATGATGAAATGCTGAGTCAAACAAAACTGACGGGTGTGTCACTTTTTCAACAGTTAAGTCGTTGGTATTTTTATAACTAATTTGTTAGCGACATTGAACAAACGGAAAGCCTGCGCCAATAAATCGATGGACACATCCTTTTTTTAACGTATAGACTGTCGCTGTTACCAAGGATTCCCACGTCCGTTATTTGAACCGACAAACACCGATGATATTAATTTTCTCTAAAAAACCGTGAGAAGAAGAAGTAATTTTTTTTCTATATTGTTGGGGTGTGTTGTTACACTGCCTTTGGGGGTGCATTGTTACATGCAATGTACGTCGTGACTCTATAAGGTGCATCTTTCTAACACTTCTCATTACTTCACAAGATCGGTCACCATGGCGACAAGCAGAGGGCGGTCGATGGTGGTCAATGTTGGCTGGCGAGCAGTAGTCAATGACTACATGAACAAGAAGTATTTGTTGGGTTTTTGGCCTAAAAATTAGTTGAAACTTGACTCCTCCTAATTAGGGGTGTAAACGAGGAGTCGAACCCGAACACGAGTTGTTCACGAGCAAAGAGTTGTTTTGACAACCTTAATCACGTAACCGTAAGATGTTAAGGATTATGACAATATTTAAAAATTATTGTTTATATTAAAACATTATTTGAATCTAATTTAATAATTTTTATTCTCTTTTCTTAATTAATACTTTTAATTGATTATAAATTTTTGTTGCCTTGAAGTCAACTATATTTTTTAAAAAAAATTGATTATATATATATATATATATATATTCATGAGTAGTATTTCAAGCCAAAACAAGCGAACACGAACGATCAAATCTTAGTTCATGTTCGGCTCTTTAACCTAGCGAACGAGCCAAACACGAGCTGTTCGCGAACAGCGAGCCGTTTTGAGAGTCCTACTCCAAATCCAACTCCAAGCCTCCCCATCATGAATGAGGGCTTTATTATCTCGTCACTGATCGACTCCTCTGAGGGTCTCACTAGACCACCACTAGACCATGGAGAATCCATAGACCTGACAGACAGTAATCTGCTCTGATACCACTTGTCACGTCCCAAAAGAGCTCTTAAGTGAGATGGACAGCCCATGACTTAAATACTGTTCTTCGACCCTTCACTTAACCGATGTGAAACTTTTGTCCCTCACAAACCATTCCTAATGCACCCTAAATAGCGCTACATGGTTTTCATTTTAAAATAAAAATTACATTTTTTTTAGATCGTTAGCCTTCATGAGATCATGAGTCTGCATTTCAAAACATTTTTTCCTTAAAAAAAAAAAAAGAATCTATCCAACCCCAACCGGGTCAATAAGCGCGTATAACAAATTCCAAAGTTCCTAATTAATAGAACTTAAAGATCAAAAAACTTAGCGGCATGAGAAAGGGCCGAAGAAAAACAATATTTTTCTCCGTCTTGTCCATTCAGTCGCAGTCTCCAGTCATCGCTGGCCATTAAAGACCACTTCTCTCATCATCCAACGCTCCTACCTCCTATATAAACAACAGACACCACCACCAGTTCTCACATAACTACCAGCAGCAAAAAAGAAGTGGAAGAAGAAGAAGAAGAAGAAGGGCACCATAACCTCACTCTTTACTTCCAACATTTCAAACTGGTGCTAACAAACAGAACATGGCTACTTCATCCCTGCACGCAGAATCCATCAATCTTTGTCAAACGACCACGAACTCTTCCAGCAATCTAACGCCCATGAAATCCATTCCTTTGTCGGATGAGTTGCTTGGCACTTTTGTGCCCATTGCTGTTTATTGGATATATTCTGGCATCTATGTGATGCTTGGTGACTTGAACCAGTACAGGCTTCACACCAAGGCTGAAGAAGACAAGAAGAACGTTGTTTCTAAGACAACCGTTGTGAAGGGAGTCCTCGTCCAGCAAGCGCAGCAAGCTTTCCAAATTGCTGTCTCCCTCCTCCTCTTCACGGTATGTAACATCTTCACTTCTAACTCTGTATTATGTAATTAATTTGAACTAATTAACACCTATAGCTGCTTGATTACTAAAAAAATTTCCTTTATATATACTGATGCAGTTTATGAGCGGTGAGGGTGGTGTCGTCCTGCCACAGCCTTCTACTCCGGTGATCATCCTCCAGTTCATCGTGGCCATGGTGGTGATGGACACTTGGCAATACTTCATGCACCGATTCATGCATGTCAATAAGTTTTTGTACAAGCACATCCACTCCAAGCACCACACTCTTGTTGTCCCCTACGCTTTCGGAGCTCTCTACAATCACCCGCTCGAAGGGCTTATCCTTGACACCATTGGGGGAGCCCTCTCATTTCTTATTTCAGGGATGACGGCTCACACTGCCATCTTCTTCTTTTCGTTCGCCACCATCAAGACTGTTGACGACCATTGTGGTCTATGGCTCCCCGGAAACTTGTTGCATGTTTTCTTCAACAATAATAGCGCATATCATGACATCCATCATCAGCTCTATGGCACCAAATATAACTTCTCTCAGCCTTTCTTCATCACTTGGGATAAAATACTCGGGACACATATGCCTTACTCGCTTGAGAAGAGAAAGGAGGGGGGTTTTGAGGCCAGACCGATTAAGAAGATTTGTTGAGTGATTTGAGAACTATTCTATACCTTGTACTCAGTTACTTTATTTCCATTGGAACGAGAAGATTTATACAATGTAAAATTAGAAAAGGGCGTTGTAATTTTTCTTAAAGTATTGAATATTTAATGAACATTACCCATTTGGTCTTACCATTATGGACCACTGCTTTCTAATCTATCTATAGTGTTTCGTATGGAATTTCCACTGGATCATTTTGCATCCCTTGTTAGCCACTTTCAAATTATAAAGTAAGAATTTGTTGTAAAATAGATAATCTTATAAGCCAATTATTTGGTTGATAAAAAGGAACTTTACCTCTCCAAAGAGCAAAACATTTTAATGGATGTATGAGCTTTCAACTTCTTGCACTTCCTACTACTAAATGACAAATCAAAGATTGGTGGAGAAATGTAGGTTGCACATCACTAACCGCGCTTAATTTGATCGTTAAGAGAATATTAATTATATGTGAATGGAGATTTGTTAGAGGGAATGAGACAGACTTATAGTTCTGGATGCATAATTTTGAGCCACGCATATTAAAGTAAACGAGATGCTTTCCTTCTTCCTCTAGAAATTTGGTTTAATCTGCAAGTCGTCATTGATTTGATGTTTTCTCAAATATTAATGAAAGGTGGAAGCTAGCTAAGTGTTCCTCCAACATTTCATAAATATATTTTGATGGGAATGTCATGAGCAAAATTTATTTTACTGTATAAGATAGTTATTTTAATGTTGTGAAGCATTTACATAAACATTATAATGCATGTCATTGTATTTTATAAAGATAAAATAGATATTAATACTATAAGAAGTTATTGAGGAGCTTCATGATCTTAAGGTGATGGATGAGATAACAAAAAAATCAAAGATGAAACTAAGGATCAATAGACATTTTTTCTCTTGGATGGGCTGGCAAAATCTTAACGAGGACAAGATAATCTAGGCAACTTCTGGGAAGGTCATTGAGGATCGGTGGTGTAGTGCTAATCTAAGAGATAAATACAATCTAACTTTAAGGCATTGAAAGAGATAATGCAAAAAAGTTCATGGAGGTTAGTAAGAATGATGGGGTTAGTAATCTTCCGAATCTTTGGTGAAAGTGGTAGACAAAGGGCAAGGAAAGTTAAGCAGGCAGATGAAGATAGCCTCAAAAAACTTCTCCTTAAGATAAAAGTGGGACAAACCTAATTATGTATATGTTAACCGAAGAATTTAATAAGGAGCTCATTGGTTAAAATTATGCATCATCGGGTGCACAACCTTAAGATAATGAATAAAGTACCACTAGAATATCATAAAAGCTATTGAGGATTAGTCAAATCATTTTCTTAGAAGGGGATGTTACAAACTTAAAATGATAAATGAGATGGTGCCAAATGGTTGGAAAAGTCACTTAAGATGGCCTAGATGGTCATTCTCATGAAGGTTAAGGCAATAAAACCCTATGGTAAATGACAAGCAGACATATAAAAATTATAGGAGGTGTTGACCTCACTTTTACGAGGACTCGGCCCACACACCTGCAAATAAACCCCAGACCAGGAATGTGCTTTCTTAGGCCTCACCAAGGCAAGCCTAAGCCCTCAACCCTTGGTTGAGTTGGTTTAGGGTGTTGACTTGGTGATGGACCCAAATTAACCCCCATGGGCAAGACATACCCAAAACAAATAAACACTAAACCCTAGGAATCTTCATATAGACTTTAGGGGTCACTTTGATCATGAAATTCACTTTGGGAGAAGGGTATTTCTAAATTGATCCCTAGACTCACAAAGGCCTCCCCAACCACAACAAACCTTAAAAATCACTTTAAAATCTATCACACCCTTTTAACCAAAAATTTTGGTGACACCATGATTGGTCAAAACCAATTGGGACTAGCCAAATTTTGGTCAAATCTTGATCAATTGACCATAGTGTCATCCATTTGAACCCTATCCAACATGGTCATGAGTACCCAATTGGAACTATGGGTTCAAACCCCTTATTCCAACCAATTAATTAATAAATTAATTAATTAGGGGGATTGTTAAATTCCTAAATCCAAGCCAATTAGGTCAAGCCCAACCAACCCTAAAACCCAACCCAAGCACGTGGCCCATGAAGCCCATGAACCATTCTTCATGGGTCATCTATGACACAAATCAACCCACCATGGCATGTGGGTGACACAACATGACAAACCAAGCCAAGTCCAAGCACTAAAGGACAAATTTAGCACCACTTACCATGGGGGAGGCCACATGGCACCTTGGTCATGGTTCTCTTTATCCACCCTTGGGGAGCAAAACCAAGCCTTTGGGAGGTCAAGACTAGACCAAATCTGGTCTTCGCCACCCACTAAAAGGTCTCCCAATCAAGTTAAGCTCCCTCCCTTCGCCACCATGGCCAAGGTATGGAAAATTGCCAAATCTCTTTACCCGCTGCAAAAAGCCACCTGAAATCCTCTAAGGAGCCACTTGACCTTCCCCATGCCAGAGGATGGAACCCGAGCACCATGCATACACACTAAGCTCCCTAGAAACCCCTCAAATCCTCTTACTCACAATAGCAAAAGTGTTCCCCCTGAGCTAGGCAGTTGATCCCTACCATTCTCAAGCCTTTTCCATAACTACAAAACCCTAATTTCCCCATTGAAAACCAATACCAATTTTGGCCCTGAAATCAAGTTCCACAAAACTCCAAACCAACTCTCCCACAAGGTTAAAGACACTCTCCCCAATCAAAATTGTACCTTCCCGTAGTCTCAAACATATTCCAAGACCAACTGGACCAATTTTAAGTTAAATTGAGACAAGGAGGAGTTTTGTGGCATCAAGGCATTCGACTTTGTCAAGTCCAATTGAGGCTTCACCTCTTAGGACAAGGTATGGATAAAAATCCAAATTTTTTGCTTTCGAGTTGGTCATTTATGAAAGAAGTGAACAATGCATGCCCATTAAACCGTAAATATAGTTTCTTCTAACTTAGATGAAGCTATGTGAACAAAAACTTAGTGATTTGGTTGAGAATCAAGAGAGATCTTGGCATTTGATCATGGATGGCTCTCGCTTTTTCCCGTGGGGATGATAAACCGATGTCGTATGTTTCCTTGTATTATAAACGAACGACAGTGATTAGGTCGGATGGTGCGATTGTGAGAAAAAGGGGAGCACCGGATCACGGGACAGCGTAGCAACCACGTGGAAAACACACCCAATCACTGAGTGTCGCTCAAACATTCGACGAATCCGAGGATCCAGTTAGTGCCGCATAGTTAAGTAAATAATTCAGATTTTCCAAATTAATTAAATTCCCAAAAATCAAATAAAACTTTAAAAGTTCATAACTTTGGAAATAAAATCACAAAAAAAACCTCTCAACTCAGTGAAGAGAGGGGAAATAATGAAAAAAAAATTGAAACTAATTAAATTATATATATTTTTAATTAATTAAATACTTTAGAGAATTTTAATTATTAAAAATTAAATATAAGCTTAAAAAATATGAAAATTTTAGGGATTCTTCCCTCCATCCTTGGAAACATTCTCTGATTTTTTCTAAGGTCAGAAGACTTTCCTAACATCCAAATGATTAGCTTCCTACCAAATTTAAAATGACAATTTTCACCCTTGAAATCACTAAAATAAAAATTTCAGAAATTAAGGATAAAATTGTAAAATTAAAATTTTATATTTTGGCCCAAATTGCCCCCAAATGTAACTTAAGACACTCAATCCAACCTTAGGGACCTAACTTAGTAGGGGCCTTAAGGAATAACATCATGGTTATCCCCCCTAACCATAAAAACACCTTTAATGGCCCAGGGTTAGCCCAACTTGAGCTTGGGCTTAGGTTAGGTCTAACCTAACTTAGACCTATCCTACGTGGACTGGCAATTGGGCCCAATACAATTGAATTAAAGTCTGAGCCCTAATCATATTTGACCTAGTTCATGTTCAACTTGAGTTTGGTTTACGTCTAACCCAAACTAGACCTGCTCCCTAAACCTTTTTAGGTAAAACCAAAACAAGACCTCAAACCTAGACCTTTTAGGTCTAACCCAAATTAGGCATAAACCCTAAACTTATTAGGTTTAACCCAAATTAGACCTAACCAACATCCTAGGTCAAACTAACATTAGTCCTAACTCCCTTAGGTCTAACCCAAATTAGACCAAAATTCAACCTAAACCCTAGGTCTGACCAGACTTAGACCTAACCTAAATCCTTTGGGTCTAACTTACATTAGACCCAAACACCCCTTAGGTCTAAAACACATTAGACCTAATTTAAGTCTTAAGTCTAACCTAATTTAGACCTAACCTGAATCCTTTGGGTCTAACTCACACAAGACATAAACATCAACCATCATTTTAGGTCAAACCCACATTAGACCTAACTTAAACTTTAGGTCTAACCCACATTGGATCTAACCTAAAATTTAGTTCTACCTTACATTAGACCCAACTTAAACGTCTTAGGTCTATCCCAAATTAGACCTAAACAAACCTATCCTTTAAATCTAACCCAAATTATAACTAAACCTAAAACCTTTTGGGTCTAACTCAAAGTAGACCTAAACTAAACCCAAAATCCCAGGTCTAACCTAACTTAGAACTAACTTAAACCATCTTAGTTCTAACCCAAATTATACCTAAACCCTAAAACCTTTTGCCTCTAACTCAAATTAGACCAAAACTAAACCCTTAAACCTAGATCTAACCTAGCTTAAACCTGGCATGGGTCACCTTAGGTCTAACCCACATTAAACCTGAACCTATACCTTAGGTATTGCCTAACTTGGACCTATCATTAACCACCTAACCCACTTTAGACCTAAACATAAACCCTAGGTTTAACCGAACTTGGACCTAGCTTCGATCACCTTCAGGTCTGACCAAAATTGGACCTATATCTTATATGAACCTATTTAGTTATAACTCATAGTAGACCTAAAACATGAGCCAACCTTGGGTCTCACCTAGCTCAGACCCAAATATCAACCATCCTAAGTTTAGCCTAACTTAGGCTTAGTTCAACTTGAACTTTCTCTAAGTCTCACCCAACTATGTCCAACCTAACCTGGACTCAGTCAAACATAAGT